ATCCGCAGCAACTAGTCGAACAGCCAAGTCTCCTGTATCCGCCATCGGGTCTTTAATGATTGGAATGATTTTGTCAAGGGACACAAAGTCGATGGATCGATACTCTTGACTCACCATTTGTGTGCAGTCGCGAATCTCCTTGTTCTCCGTCTCGTCGAGAAACCCATCCGTTGATTGTTCCATCAAACTCATCCTCCTCACAACTTCTTTTAAAGTTCTTTGTTAGCTTTTTATAGTTCTTTTGTTACTAAATACAGGAAACTAGTCATGTACTAGAAATGTATTATATAAAATAGATTAGTAATCAAAAATTCATTTGAGTAATGGGCAGTTGGCAACACTCGTCTTGCACTTCGGATTCATCTCACATGTATTCAACCGAGCAAGAGAGACGTCGTCTTCAATGTCTATAGTCTTCGTCGAAGGCGGTAAAGCAACTTCAACCAACTTGTCGCACCACGAGCACGTAAACGCCTCAAACCCATTCACCGTTTTTAAGTTGATGAATGAAAGCTTATTTGACCCGATGATTGTGCACGATTTGAGTGTCATTGGAGGGACAAAACTCGTCATCTCATTGAGATAATCGGTCACTAACATATCCATCGATTTCACGTATGATAAATCTAATGTTTGGTAAGCCGCCAAATCTTTCAGTTGAAGCTCTTTGACACACTCGGGCACTTTCACACATTTGAGCTTATCACACGTATCGACTATAATAGAATCCAAGTTCGCATCACTCACATCAAGTACTTCAATCCGTCCGTCATGGGAAAAGTTGAGCTTCTTCACGTTTTTGCCGCACTTAAAAGTTGTTCCTTGGTATTGTGCCACATCGACGGAAGTGAGACGCGTCAAACTTGTCAAGTCAAGATCGGCGATATTCGACGCGTACGAGATGCTGAGTTCAATCAAATTTGGTGGGAACTTCGTGTGGACCAATTGGTTACATCCGTAAATCGCCAGAAGTGTGATATTGGTTAATCTATCAAACTTACTCATATCTTCAAAGTGAGGTACACCTATCAGATTCAATGACCGAAGTGATTGTGGAAAATCGACATCATCAAACTTGCAATCCACCGGTTCAAATCGCGCGTATTCCAATCGAGTCAAACTCGCAAACCCATTCGTTTGTGTTATCGTCCCTTTCTCATCATTTTTCTCCACAATCGTTAACTCTTTCCCAATAGGCCCAAAGTCTTGTCTCCAATACAAGTCGGTCAACGTGTTAGGTAACGTGACTACTCTCTTTTTCCCGCTGAAAAAGGCGTCATTGCCGACACGTAAATCAACCAAATTGGTGCACTTCGAGAAGTCATACATCTCCAAAGTAGGGCTCTTTTTAGTCTTCTCCAAGTACTCCACCTTCTTCAACCCGCCAATCGCCTCCGTTTTATAAAACGCTTTCGGCATTCTCCCGTCAATTTGCAAGTGTTCAAACCGGGCGTTTGGGTATGCAGAGCACCTTTTTGCTGAGGTGAGGATGACGTTATTGAACGCGTACAGTTGAATGATTTTGGCAAAGATGTCTGCTTCGTACTGGCACGCAACGGTCTTAATTGGTTTATACAAATTCGATGGGTGGACGTAGACGTTCCCATCCGCAATTGCCCTCGAAGTACATTTGGAGTATGGGATGAACACATCAAATTTAATAAAGAGACACACATTGGGATTGACCTTCTTCAAGTTATCAATTTGACTGAGTAACGCGTCGAACACAACGACGTTGATAATAACTCGAGTCGTTGGGTTGTGTTTAGCCAAGTAAGCGATGATATTAATGATCAACTTGTTATCCAACATCGTGTTATCAAACACAACGGTCTTTAAAGTTGGTTGGAACAAGTGATCGACTAATTTCACGTCCACGGCAGTCTTGGAGTACGTGAAGAGACTCGAATCGATCACTAATTTCTCTAAAGGAAGATCGACAAAATATTTCAAGTCAAACTCTTCAAAGCACTCCAACACTAACGAAGTTGCTTGCGAAATGACTTGCTTACCCTCCGCTGTGGGCAAAGCTTTTAAGTCGATTTCGTCACTTATAAAAATGTCAAATGTGGTGTTTGGTTTGTAGAGATGAGCGTATTTTACGATGTACCGGAGCTGTGCGCTGAAGTGAGTGCAATTTTTGAAATGGACGGGAGAGGGAAATTTGTTTCTATGCGTCTCTGTAAGGCCGTTCAATACGGTGTTATACTTCTTGGAGACATATCGGAGTTTTTTCAATGGAGCGGCTTCGCTGACGTATTTCACAAATAAAGAGAGACACGGTTCTGTAATGGCGTGTGCACTCATTCTTGATATTATCAGTCTTAGGGTTTTTTATATCATTTTATATATAGTATTCGTTTTGTCTTTTTATTTTTTTCTGTGTTGTTTGTATAGTTAAATGTATTATAATTATTGGTTAAATAGATGTCATGTGATATATTTGTCAAGGAGTCGTGGAAACAATACCACTCGTTTTGTCATTATTATCTTCTTTTCTCAGTGATTTATTGTTTATATGGCATTTTTATAATTAATTTACTTTTAACTATATAGTTCTTTTCATTTGTGATGTGAATTATTTAAAAATGATCATTCTATAACAATACTTACTAGTATAATTACTTATACTTAAATAATACAAACAATGAACAAATTTATAGTATTATAAAATATAGTACAGTAAATTAGTAAATTGCCTCTTTCCAATCCAATCCATCAATCACATTCAAAGAGGAACAGAACAAAGCAAAGCAAAGTGAACACTTCTAAACGCAAAAATCGAATGTTTCCAACCAGAAACGTCCAATTAGTTCATGGAACTAATGAACGAGTTGTCGATATAGAATACCCCGACCTTTTCCCTTCAACTTTACCAGAGACTTTTAATGTGTTTCAGACAGAAATCCCACGCCGGTCACTTACTGCAGTGTCACTTAAATATTTGGAATGTGCAAAAAGAGAGTTTCAAGCGAATGGAGTCGACTTAAAAGTCCAACTGATGAATACATTTGACAATGCCCCTCAAGATACAGTCTATGAAGTCTTATCATATTGGTCCCGGAAGCCCAAGAATTATTCATTCTGTGAGATCCAAAACTACTACCAGTTTCCCGTCAAGTCATTGAATGAGATCACTGCTCTTTCTCAATTGTTACAAATCGACTTTTTACATCGGAAATATACCAATTTGTCCAACACAGAAAAGTGTATAGTGAGAGTTGCCTGTGTTCTCTTACGACATCCAAAAGTCATTAGTTTTCAATATTTAAATTATTCATGTAGTGAGATAATCACAGGACTCAATTTGATATCAAAATTTGTGCCAGTCGTTCTCTTTTTTTCTGATTACAATCACGACGTCTCATTCTGTTCAAACTATTTTTCCACACTTCCTGTGGACGTGGAGAAAGGCCTTCAACCTTCAAAATTTAAAGTGTTCAGAACAACAAAGAAGAAGATCTTCACGAGAAAACTTGATAAAGTCAAGTATTGTATTACTCAATTGTTCTCATTAAGTGCTTTGTGGGCACTCTTCTCAAGTTTTTCGTATGAGTGGTCGATGCAATTCATACACACGGCTTCACGTAAATATCGGACGGCGTGGCGGCATCCTGTGAATATCATATTACACGCTTTACAATACTTATTAGGTGGAATTATTATCGGCTCGGTCTTCTTCAGAATCGACTTCAATCAGACAAACTTAAACATCCGATTCAACGTCTTGTTCTTCGCAACAATATCAAAGACATTATTCACTATCGACCAAGCAATTGCTTCGGTATATAACATGCGAAGTATTAGAAAAGAGAATAAGACACATAAGGTCTATGCCTCGGCTTATATATTAGCCGATTATGTCTACAACTTCCCTTCAATGCTCATCAACCCGACACTCTATGACGTCATCTTTTATCCCCTCGCAGACTTCAAGCCGAGCGTTTCTCGGTGGTTTTACTATTACTTTACTTCACTGTTATCTACTCAATTAAATAACGCTATGAGCGCATTCATTGGGTATATCTTCGACGGTCTCAAAATAGCAACTTTACTTGAGATGGCGACACTCTTCTTCTTATTCATCTTCTCGGGAACATTCAAGAACTCGACTAATCTACGGGGGTGGGACAGATGGTTGTATACAATCAGTTTTTATAGACTCTCTCATAACGCTTTCTCGACTATTTACTTCAAAGGAGTCGACTTGCCGTGCGACTATGAGGACTTAAAATTAAACAACTGCTTATATCAAAACGGCGATGACTTATTACTTAAGAAGGGAATTAACACGTCATTAACTCGAAACATCTTATTTCTTCTTTTCTATATCGTCATACTCAGATCCGCTGCCGTCGTCTTAATTAAATTCCACCTCTTCTGGGACGAGTTTAATATTAATCTCCACAAACTCCCATTTCTCTGTGGTATTTTCACTCACAACAGAAGAATTAAATGGTTTTCTTAGGTATGAAAAGTAGCACATGAGAGATATGAAGACTAAGATTTATAATTGTATATGCATTGATTCGTTTTTGTTTTTTAATGAAACAATAAACTATAAATTCTTATAATTATAACTATATCTTTTGTTTATCCAAAATACCAAATAAATAATTTAATGAGAGTAATTTAACTAGAAATAATCCAAAACTCAAAAGAGACAAATGAGGCCTGAGATTGCCAATATCAGAACGATTCTTATTCAAATGGCCATGTGCCAATTTGTTTTTCTTCTCCTCCCACTTTTGTCCGCAATTATTTCCGTTTCCTCCGAGTCTAAAATCAAGTTCATATTTTCATTCAAAAGTGTCTCTTCGGCATATCCCCTCTACTTTGTGTCCTATTTACTTAACCCACTTATACTTGCCGTCGCAATCAGATTTATTGTCCAAAAGTATAAGGCATGTTACGACTTCGCATTCACCGTATATGTATTCCATTATCTCTTTACCGCAGTTAATTCCCTCACATTATTCCCACCTCTTGTTTGTTTTTGTTATTAAAAATGTTATATATAACATTATATTTCAAAATGTTATTCATCCGATAGACTTGGCTTATAAGCACCATTATTGTCGCTGTAGTAACAACACTACTGTCTGAATATCTGTGCAAAACGTTGGAAATTCAAGAAATATCATTTACAAACACACAACTCCTCACACCAATCCCGTTGACCGAAATTTCTATTAACTAGACGTTGCTTGGCTCTATCACCTACACTTTATTTCCGGAACTATACAATTCTAATTAATTTAACCATGTAATCTTATTTATAGAATTATAGTACTTCTTATTAAAATACTTCCTATAACCAGGTGTATTTTATTATAGTAATTAACTATTAAAAATATATCATAGAGAGTAACAAACACTGAAAGAGATCTTGAGGCCTTTCTCGACTATTACTGCAGCCGAGCTGTTATCGAAACACCCGACGTACTGACAAGCAGAGAAAACAGTAATACAATTTCCTTCGACCAAAAATCCGGTGTTGACCAATTCATGCCCTCTAATAATCCCAACCAAATTATTCTTCTTAAGGAAGAGATCGAGTTGTTCCTTCCCAAAGACAAAACTAGTCTCTCTTCTTTCGTTGTCGCCATACCCTTCTTGCTCTTCGAAGAAGTCGGACCATACGATATCTCTTAATAATCCCTCGTGGGGTATATCAACGGGTCTTTCGATCTTCTTCAGTTGCCCAATTTGCTCCAAGAGAGGAGATAACCCTCCGTGGATACAAAGAATCTTCCCGTCGATTATCGCTGCGAATGGCATCACGTTGAATGTCGACACAAACGCATTCCACGGGTATAAACTCGAGAAGTCTCTGAGACACTCCGAGTAAAATCCACCGCGTCGATTCACTCGGGAACACTCGTGGTCTCCTCTGACTATATAGACGCAGTCGGGGTATTTCACTTTAAGGGCATAAAGTAAACACAACACCTCGACACTGTATTTCCCTCGATCGACATAATCTCCTAAGAACAAATAGATCGTAGTTGGTGGTAACCCATTGACTTGGAAGTGTCGAATCAGATCAAAGTACTGTCCGTGAAGGTCTCCAATGACTACAATCCGCTTTTCTGTGGTCAATGGAAGTAACACAGGCTCACTCATTAGACGTGTGCGCATTTCTTGGCACAAATAACTGCGTGTTATTCTATTGGAGGTCATTATACTATCAGAATAATATTCGAAACTAGTTAACAAACTATACAACATCAGCAGTGACTATTTGTCGAAACTCATCATACGTCCGAGCCTTAAATAAATTGACGAGAAGAAGATCAATGTTTGGAACAACAGATGTTAAAGGCACAAGCATAGTACGTGACATCTTTGAATTATAAGATGAAGAGTCCAGTTTTTCTTTAAATCACACTAAACAGAAAGGAAATTGCTTGAAATGTCAAACAATAAAATCGAGTCTTTATTATTGACTCTAGAATAATATAAGAAGTGGACGTCCAGATTTTTTACAGAAAAATTGAGTAATAAATTGGTGTCATTTTTTTGTTTTTTGTTTTTTTGGGGTGAAAAAAAAAATCTTTTTGTTTTTGTTTATAGTTATTATATTAGTTTATAATCATATTAATACATAAATTATTATATTTTAATCTCAGTATGTTGTTTTATATTTGAACTTAATTTATTGACATTCGATATAAATATACAATCATTGTTTAATAATATAAATTAACAATAATTTATTAATAATTAAATTATTAAATATTATTATTGTAAATATTAATCGAACACAATATTTTTAAATATATTTTATATAAAATTTACAATAATAAAAGTTACTTCTTTGTTGAATCAATAACTCATTTAACTATAAATTACCAAATAAGTTACTAATTAAATTAAATACAATTAATTGTTTAAAATAGTAAAATTATAATTATATAATAACTAACCATTGTTTATTATCTATAAATAACATTAAATATTACTACTAATAATATAATAAAATAAAACCATATAGAAGTTATATACAATCGTTCAATACAAATGAAAGACTTGACCAACGAACCCTAAAAAAGCCAAGCTTCTCTTTAAAATCCACAACTAAATGCCGCGACAACGAGGAAATAAAGTTCACAAATCGAAACGTAAAGGTTGTGGTATAGGTGGAGTCCACAAGCGCCTTTCGATGAAACACAAGACGAAGGACTTGGACCAAATAGTGAATGCGATTAACAACGGTGAGATCACACCTGCTGGGAAGCCTTTGACCGCATTAGAAAAAGACGAAGACAAGCCTGGGATGGGTCAACATTACTGCGGGGTGTGTGACAAATACTTTTTGACTCGTGCCATTTACTTGAAGCACTGCACACAAACGCCACACAAACTCAACGCAAAGCGAGTTCAAAGGGAGAAACCCTGGACCGTCAAAGACGCACAAGGGAGAGTCGACAATGGGGTTAAACTTGGTAGAAAGCCATGGGACAATGATTTAGGGTTACCACTCGAGAAGTTACAAGCTTCTGTTCTCAAGCCCACTGCTTAACGATTTTAACTTGTGTTGATTGATTTATTTCGTTGTTACCATTTGTTGTTATCGTGTGAACCAAGAACAATCATCCTAATTAAATCGTTTGCGAGGATAGTCGTCGACGCGTGGTCTATGTTCGTTCACCATACTCATTTTCTGCCTGAAGGACATCAACTTTTTCTATGAAATGAGTGATTTGTTATATATATATAAATTTGTTATATACATTATACATGGAATAGATGGAAACAAACACTTTCATATGTACCAGATGGCATATTCAACGCTGTCTGTATAATAATAGCTTCTAAAGGATTGTAAGTTACTTGTTTGTTCCCAGCAAATTCAAGAATCTGATCGTCTTTTTTCGACGCTTTAAAGAGGCGCGGAATCAGCTTTGTGTTATAATTCAAATTGAGGCCAGCTAAATACGCTTGACCAACTTTAGAGACTTTCCAGTTGACAGAAGAAAGTTCGGGAGGAACGTGAAGGTCGCTCAACACTTTGTCGACACTGGGTTGCATGTATATTTTGTTTCGATTCATCTCATCTTCTTTCATCGGAGAGATCATCACTTTCTTTGCCACCCACAATTCTCCCCTCACCATATAAGCCTTTTTGTCTTCATCCATTTGTCTGTGTTGTCTGTTCTTTTCAAGTTATTTCATTCACTTTATTCTTTGAGTTATTTAATTAGTTAATTTATAGTATTAGAATTATTGTATTTAGTAATTAAATTTAAATTAAAATTAAACTAAATTGAAACTAAAAAGACACATATGACACTCTTCATGATGTTAACTCGTTAAACTGCGACTTGATTCGCGAAACACGCTGTTCAATGATCTCTTCGATCTTCTCTTCGCTCACGCCGCTGTCCAAGTCTAAGTGATTTACTATATCGTCATCGACCCTCACAATCATTTTAATAACATTATCAAAATTGGGGCGTTCGGAAGGCTCTGGTTTCCAACACTCTGTTATCATAAACTTCAGTAACTCGGGGACTTTGTTATCAAATGCAAGTCTCAAGCCTTTCTCGACATGCCCTTTGATTTCAAAGACACTTTTCATCTCCTTGTATGGCTCTTCTTCATGGAAGATTTCCCACGCCGTCACGCCGAATGAATAGACATCACCCGCGTTTGTGTACTCATCATGGAAAGTCTCAGGGGCTGCATAGACGGGTGTCCCAAGTCCTTTCTCGTCCAAGTTACTCTTCTTGACAAATCTCGACGTCCCAAAATCAGTGATCTTGACTGAACACGCGCTGTTTGCGTCCAACGAGTTCACCAGCAAATTGTCTGGCTTGAAATCCAAGTGCATGATCTTGTTCTCATGTAAGAACCTCATCCCTCGAGCTGCGTCGAACATCATTTTGACTTTGACTCGATACGGAAGTTTGACATAGTCTCGACTAGTAGGTCTGATATACTCTCCCAGTGATCCCAAGATGAAGAATTGAATGACCATAGAGACTTGTGGGAGGTAAGTAACTGCGCCCATGTAATTTGCGATGAACGGATTTCTAAGGCGACTCATAATTTCACATTCAGAGACAACACTGTTCTTTAACTCTTTCATCTCTTCAACTGTCAAGTTGTCCCATCTAAATTGCTTGATGGCGACGGGGACACTTCGGTAATTACCTATAAAGACTTTACCCATTGCTCCTTCAGCTATAGGGCTTTCAGAGATGTTCAACTCGTCCATATCAATGTGTGTTGAACTTGAAGCGTCTGTTTTGATAGTGATATAGTTGTGGAAATGTCTTCGGACGTTTTTGTACAACTTGTCCATCTGATTTTGGTCTTCGGTATTCCATAAGTCGAAATCCTTTCCTTTTAGGAGTTCGGCAATTTGTTTCAGTGTCGAGAGTGACTTACTGAACCACACGGTATATGGGATCTTTAGTTCTCTTATTTTACATGTACAGTGGAGAGTTAAGAACGACGTAATAGTTTTCATTGGCGAGTGTGGCCCGATAATTACAACTTGTGGGTCGAAATAGAAGACGTATTTAGGGCTATTAGGGGTGTGGAATATGATCATCAAGCTACGGTGTTATTTCTTGTCACATCAAATTTATTACTTTAAGTCGTCACTCTATGATAATTATTCAATCAACAAACTATTTGTTCTTACTAAAGTTCTTAACTTCCATTCTCTCGAATCGCGTGTCGAAGATTTCAGTTGCTTGATTGGTATTTCCATAATCAAGATTGACTGGGTCTATGTAATAGCCAGACTGTTTTGAAGGAACGTCTCTCTTTGATCCAGTGATATAAAAGTGATATGTGGGTTGCTGTTGTTTATAGATAGAGACGTCTGCCTTTTTGTATCGAAGTGCAAAGTACAGTAACAATGAAATTAGCCCAAGAATAAAGATAAAGACTATCACACTGGTTACAACTATTCCAGCTATCGCACCACTTGATATCGACTTAACTACACAACTTAAAGGATCTGTGGGGTCCGGCACAAAGCCTTCAACACATCGACATTGCGAATCACAATTAGTTCCTGAGTCACACTCTTCCGTTCGAATAAATTTGGAGCCTTCATAGTACGTATCTATCTTTCTATTGCCACATAACCGATTGATGCATTTGCCTCGACCGTCAGCATTATACCCATTTTCTGCGAAACACATGCAATTGGGCGAACACCCTTCGGCTTCAGCAGGACACTCATCCCCGTCCCCCATTCCTCCATCTCTGCATTGTTCTGTCGTGCACAAATGGTTGATGACTAATTCTCCGTTCTTGCAGAGACAGTCGTCGTCACAATTTTGGGATCCAAAGTAACACAAATTGCTCTTCTCAGGGACCAACCACTGCCCTTCGTAATAACATTTTAATCGACAATCTTCACCTCCATATTTATCTTCACACTTACAGATGCCATCAGTTGTAAGACATTTCCCATGTCCTTCTAAATAGTGACAGTCGTTGATACAAAGTGCCGTGATTTCAAGCTGAATGTTACTTCGAGGGTCTTCAGAAGCAACGGCAAAGTTCCTTGTCCCTTCAACATCTCCTTTGATTTTGGCCACAAACCCACTGTTCTCGTATTCCGCAAGTGCCCCAATAGGTACTCCTTCATATCCTTTTATGCATTTGTATGTGAGCTCGCCATTGGCACCTTCTTCGACTGAAAACTCGACAAGGTGGTTGACTCTGTTGTTTGCCCTCGAGTCAAATCTCATGGAGTACTCACCGAAAAATGAAGCTGTGAAGATGACTACTTTAGCATAGAAGTCTGTGAAACAGGGTAAGTACCCATAATGTCCTGAAGACTCGAATGGAACGGTGTAACTTGCTGTTGCATTTAAGTCTTTTAAGAGTGGGTCGATCTCTTTTTGAGTGATGTTAAAGTAAGGGTCCCACAATACCCCATTCGCTTCACTAACAGTGACGGACACATCAACTTCGTAGTAATCGTCAACACTGGCAAAAAAGTAGTAGAAAACATCACTCCCTTCAACAGTATTCGTTGGACGAACTATTGGAGCTCTGATTTCCACTGAAGTGTCTGTGTCGTTAATAGCAACATGAATTGAGCATTTTGCAGTGACATCAGATCTCTGGGAATTTGTGCCATCGAAGAATAGAGTCACATTGTCTTTATTTGGTTTAGACAAGTGAATAAGGAAGTGATCTTCTGTAAATTGGTTCAAGTTAATTTTAAACCACCGTGCAAGTCGATATTTTTGTTTGTAATAACACGGACTGTGGTCTGCAGTCCCCGTTTTGGTTATTCTAAACGTGTAAGTTTCATCTTTTGTCATCTCAGAAATATTAATTTCCTTTGGAAGCCATTCAATCGTCTCAACAACATTGGTGTTCTTGTAGCAGACTCCATCCCTCATTAAGAAAGTTACATCATTCCCATCATATGGATTTGTAAATTGACAGTACTGACAAGATGTGTCTTGTTCATATAATTCACTGCAATTACCTAAACATGTGTAGTCAGCAATACATCCACTCTTGCATCCAGGTGAACACAAAAATGAAACAACAATTTTAAATAATAACATGACAATAAGCGTGAACATAATATTGTTCTCTGAAGTACTGAGTTTCTCAGCTATTCCTTTTTATGTTGAATAACTTGAGTTTCGATTAAACTGTTTCGAATGTTATTAAAAATACTTTTGAGTGAAATATAACGCTATTATTTGCAAACAAATATTATTCAGCTTTTTTCTTCGTCAAATTATACGATTTGGGCCTCTTAGTATCCCAAACTTGTGAAATTTGAAGAAGTTAGCTTACCAATATAAATAAAACCACTTTTGGGCATTTTTGTAATGCTAAGAAATCCTAATTTAGACTGGACAACCGTTTGAATTGATAGGTGTTATGCTCCGGTTCCAAACTGGGGTTTTCCGTTTGAAAAATTGGACAAAACATTGCTTTTTCTCGCCATCCCGAATGTGATTTGTAATTCACAACTGCCTTTTTTATTGTTATAATTCGCACCATTTATACCATTGAAAGCATTTTTGAATTATACCGCTCTATCTCAAAACAAAAAGCATAGATTATCAAGAAAATATTTTTACTCTGGATGTTCGATTGGCCTATATTGAGTAACAGGAGCCTATATTTGATAGATTACATACAGCGATTTATTACAATAAATATCTTTGTGGTTTTGTCGTATCAATTATGCATTGATTTTTTTTCTTTGATATTATTTATATTGAAATGGAAATGCTTTATCATACGTCCTTTAATCTTTAACTATAATTAACTGTTGGAATCTAATATAAATCAAATCTATAATAATGAAGTTTGTTTTTGGAAACATACGGGACAAAAACAAAATTCCAAGACCATCATTCATTTTTTGATGGGTAATTCAATTGGTATGAATTTCAACTTCTTTACACAAAAAAATGATATTCAACGAAATATAAAAACAAGTAAGATCCTATTTTTATTTTGAAGGAACTATTATATTTTGATTGGAAAAAACCCATATATTTTGGAAAAATATGCGCAAAATAAATTGATTGATTTTATTTTTTTAACGACTTTAAAACGACAATTAACATAAAACAAATAATATTTTATAATTATTTGTGTTATTAAATATTTTCATTTATTAACTAGATGAAAAATCAAATTGGGGTTGTTTTTTGATTTTAATAACAGGAGCCTTTTAATTAAAGAAAACCGGGAAAATATTAATTTCAAATAAAAATAAACAATATTATTTTTTTTAATCTCTTTTCAATTTATAAAAACTGTTTTTAATAAAATATCATTTAATTAATTATATTATACTTTTTTATTATGAAATAAAGTGGACGGTTGAAAGTAAAAATATATTTATATTTTAATAATACTATTTACCACCAAAATATAATTAAAACAACTCTATTTAATTTTTTTTATTTCAAAAAAAAACACAATTAATTTTATTAAATGAATAATTAAATATATTAAAGAATCGATACAACTGTTTGGTTAATAACTGTAATAAAAATAAATAAATACAACAGCCGACACGATTTAACTTCTATAGGGTAAGAAATAATGGCCAGAAATGCTGTTAAAAACCGGGGTATTTTATAGAAATAATACTCATTTCATTTTAGTTTTACCTTTTAGATTAAAACATATATTTATTTTAAGAAAATTAGTTATCAAATTATAGTATTTAAATAGTTATAATATTATAATTATTTTGCTTTTTTAATGAAAAAACAAAATAATATTAATTTTATTTTACCAACGTTTTCCGTTTTTTTTACTATTTTTATCCATAACTAATTTAAATGAAAAATATAAAACATATTTTTCCAAATGTCTTTTATTCCATTTTATTATTTTGAATTAAATCATATATATTATATATTAATTTGTAGTTAATTTAAAATTATAATTATATAATAATCAACAATAAGTTGTATATAATATAGCAAAATCACACAAAAAACACAACTATAATTAATAATATATTTATTAATATAATATAATAAACACAATACCCCCAAAAAACCTGTTTCTTGTCATTTAATAGTATAAGGAAACTAAAAGAAATAATAAAACCAAACCTACTTTGAACTGGAATGTCACTTCGTAGTTGCAATGGGTTCATACACTAATTATTGCAGCCATCAACGTGAGAACGGAAAGGGAGCCCGTAATTGCAGACGATGCGGCGCCAGAAAGGGGTTGATCCGAAAGTACGGTCTCGACATTTGCAGACGTTGTTTCAGAGAAAAAGCCGTCGACATTGGATTCCAGAAACTCGACTAATCAGTAATTGAAGTGATTTTGTGCCTTTATTTTGCTCTTCAATCAACTCATTCAACTCTTTTTTTATATTTTCATACAACACGATTAGAATTCAATCCAAAAGAATATGAAAGAACAATTGAAGATAATACAACAATAAAAAGATTGAAAACAACATAAAAAAGCTCAGTTACTGGATTTATTTACCTCTTGGTCCTCCTCTCGATGGGGAATGACCACCTCGAGTTTTGTCGCCATAAGTTCTTCCTCTTGAATCATTGCCGAATCTTCCACCTCGATTTCTATCACCACTTGATCCACCTCTTTTATTGGAAATATCACTGTATCCCCCTCGTTGTTTGGGGACATAAGTCTCTCCAGGCTTTCTTCTCCAATTATCATCGGAGTCCGCTTGTGTCGTCCCTTCAAACAATTTTCTCTCTTCTCGTGGGGGTCTATCCTCTCGTGGAGCTCGGTCTTCTCTTGGGACATATTCTCTCTCGCGATGTTCAAATTGTTGTCTTGGGACATAGGAGTCGCCATCTTTTCTTCTCCAAGAGTCTGCAGTATCCGCTTCAGTTGGGCCTTCAGGTTCTGGACGCTTCTCTCGATATTCTCGTTGTTCTCTAGGTGGTGTGTACGCGTCGTTTGCGTGTTTTGGGACAAACACATCGCCATCTTTTCTTCTCCAATTATCAGAGGTATCTGCATCAGTAGGACCAACTAACTCACTCTTCCTCTCACGCCCTTCTCTTGGTTCATAGTTACCAGACTCAGCATGTTTTGGAATGAAAACATCACCTTCTTTACGTCGCCAATTGTCTGAAGTATCAGCTTCAGTAGGACCTACTAATTCACTCTTCCTCTCTCTACCTTCTCTGCGATTTTCTCTCTCGTCACCACTACTTCGTGGGACATAGGAATCACCATCCTTACGTCTCCAATTGTCTGCTGTGTCCGCTTCGGTTGGTAATTCAGCACCATTCTCATCTCGGGGGCGCTCGTCTCTATCGCGGCGTTCACGGTGAGTTCGATCACCACCACGACGGACATACCAAAGTCCATCTTCTTCCTTCTTTTCAGGTTCTTCGGTACGTTCCCTCTTCTTTTGCACGCGTTCATCGTGGGCCGCAAAGTTGGGAACAAACAAATCGGAAGTGGTCCCTTGTTTCTCTTCAACATACTTTGTTAAAAGCGCAGAAGAACTAGTGGCAACTTCCTGTTCACCAGTTACAACAAACTTTTGTCCCTTATTACGTCTACCACCTTTCTTACTCATCAAGAATTTTTTTACTAGAGATTTAGGGTTTCACTAGTTTCTTTCTTTTTCTTCTGTAATATGGTGTTTTGTATTAATATGATATAGTATTTTTTATTATTGTTCTTAATACATTTGTTTCAAATTGTTTTTATTTTTAAATCTACCATCAAAGTGTGTTTAACCTTAGAACTTTGATAAAGAAAATAAAGATTTTTTAGTTTATGATACTTGAAGTTTATAATTGTATATTTAATAATTATAGTTGTTTCATTTGTTCATATAGTATTTATTATTATAATAAAAATTATAATTAAATTTAGTTTGTTTTTAGTTAAATACAATTATAAGTTAATATAATAACAAAATAATTTAGTATATTATTATTATTATATTATTATATTATTTTGGAATGCAACGAATCTAATTCAAGTGGAATGATATAATTAAAATTTTATATTCCGCCTCTTAATCGCATAACGAGATATAATTTGGACTCTGGCCGAATATTGTAATCTGTTAGCGTTTTAGTGTCTTCGAGTTGCTGTCCCATATAAGCGATTGTTATTTCTGGAACTTTCAAGCCTTCAGATTTGCTTATCTTTTCTTTGATATCGCTAATAGTGTTACACGATTCTGCTTCAATTGTAAATTCCCTACCAGTTAAACGTCTGACGATGAGCAACATAGATGAAACGAGTTCAGTTGTAAAGTGTTAAATAATGTCAAATGATTATTCTTATTCACACAATGATAAATTAAAATCATTTATCAATTCAAAAATTGATTTTTATTGCGTTTAAATTTTATAATGTTTTTTATTTTTTTTGAGTGAATAAAAATCATTTGTTTATTTTTAGCACTTTAAAATGACATATATTTTTTAAGAAAGTCAGGCACAGAAAAAAACGACCAGCAAACCATAAATTTATAGTATATAATAGTTTTGTTTTTTTGACCTGTTTTTTTTCATTTTAAATTTGATAAAACCATCAAATAGTTTTCTAAAATCTAATAATTGGTTATTTTCAATTTAAAAACAAATGATATTAGTTTTTGTTTAGATGTTTTTTGGTTTTTGTAATTAAAATTAAGAATAGTATTTTAATAGTAATGTATATTATTTATTTATCATAATTACATATTATTTTTTTAATATATTATTAATATAATTATATAATAAATATAAAAAACAAGTTTGTAATTCCAAAAAAATAATCAGTTTTCAAAAACAAATTCAAAAAAAAAATGTTTTCGAAAAATTGTGTTGACTTTTGAGCTTATTAACTATAAAATAAGACTTTTGTTTTTTGAGATTTGAAATTATCACTACAATTTTGTGTTAAGTGGCATTTTTATTTTTAAACTTTTTTATACAGTCAAAGTCGCTTATTTGTGGGTTAACTGACCAATCCAAACCAAAACATACAAATAGGTTGTATCTTCTCGAAACTGAATAATTAATTGAAATAAATTAAAATAACTTTATTTTTTGAGTGTATCTGAAACAAAATCTAATATGGAATAAGACTTCTTTTGTATTTTTTTTAACTTATTTAATTTAAAAATTTTAAGTTTCTGTTAAAATGGTTTCCATATTTAATAATTGTTTCTATATTTTATTTAAAAAATACTATAAAAAATAATATTTTTTGATTGATAATGCAAACGTGGTACTGAGGTTTCGACTAATAATTAATATTTTTTATAATATTGTATAAATTAAATATAAGAGTTATATTTGGACGTTTTTTGAAAATAATTAAGAACCATGTTCATTATTATTCAAATAGTATTTAAATAATAAAACGAAACCTTAGTATTCGTCGAAACTTTAGTATCATATTTGTAATTATATTATCAGTCTTAAAACAGTAATAGTAAAATTTTAGACCATTATAACTGTAATTTTTCGGGAAACTGTTGAAAAATCTCCAAAAATACTATTATTTAATTTTACAGGGAGGATAAAAAACCGCTTCCGTCTTTTTAACCGCTTCCACTTGATTTAATAGTTATAAATAATAACTTTATAATAAAAAGTATGATACAAATTACCACCTCGGACAAAAAAAGTCTCCACGAGGCATATTCAACCTTCATGGTAAACAGTACTATATATTTTATTATATTAATATTATTTGAATCTATAAAATCAAGTGAAAGCGGTTAAAAAGACGGAAGCGGTTTTTTAGCCCCCTTGTATTTAGTTTTTCAACTTTTTTCTAATTCCTATTTTTTAAGGCTTATTTTGTGTATTTATTGTGTCAAGTGGACAACAATTTACAAACAGACTTTAGTAAAAGACTAAAAATTAAGAATATGGTTATTTTTATTAATTTTTGATAATTATAATAAATCAAAGAATATTCTTCCCAATTCTTAGCAAAACCTACAAATAGACTGCTTTTTATGCAAGAAAACCCACAAATAAGCGACTTTGACTGTAGTTTTTTTTTAATTTAAAAGTTTTTAAATCAAATTAATATGACGAATAATACCGAAGATATTTTTTCTCCATTTATTTGACGATGGTATGCTAAATCTTAATTTGTAAAAGAAGATCCTATAATCCCGAAATAATAGATGACTCCCATGCTAACTGATCAGTAAAAGGAAAAACCCTAAAAATAACCCTTTTCAAATGAAGAACAAATTAAAAAATGGACACATCGACACCACCTAAATTTCCAGATATTTCAACGACCACATATCTTCACGAACTTCTTACGAAGTCACAAGAGCCCATTGGTCTGACCGTCCCAACAACGGTCACTGTTTTGCAAGACATGGAATTTTTTTCGTGCATCAATTTAGTCTCTTTAACACTGTCTCCGTTCATCCCAACAATTCCAAGTGGGTTATGTTGGGGATGCATTCGTCTCACATCTGTCGATTTCTCCTTTCAATTACAATCAATCGAACAAAACGCGTTTAAGTCGTGTGTCCTTTTAAAGAGTATTCATCTTCCACCCACACTGACCCATATAGGACCAGGCGCTTTCTCAGACTGTGAAGCATTAGAAGAAGTGGAGTTACCTATGATCACCACACTCCCTACTCGTGTTTTCTCGGGATGTTTCTCATTGAAGGAAATAGCATTCCCTGAGTCTCTCGAAGTGATCGAAGACTCCGCCTTTGCTTTTTGTAAAAACCTTCAGAAGATCTCATTTCCCAACTCCCTCACAGAAGTCCAAACAAAGGCCTTTGCAGAGTGTGGGTCGTTGACTCAACTGACATTGACTTCGAACCTAATTAATTTCAATGTCGACTCCTTAATGCGGTGTACCAAGCTTTCTCATGTCTCACTTGAAAGTGGGAGTATCATCAGATACAAAGTTCCGTATTTCATAGCAAAGATGTTAGGCAAGAGAGGTGTTCTGTGTGAGCAAATTGAGTTAATAAGTGGGGACGACTTGTTATTCACAGCTTTGGAGATCCCCCCAATTGTATCTTCTATTGGTGCCGGGTATTACAAAGAGCAGATCTTTACCACTACTATATTCAAAATACCGAACACTATTAAGTCCCTTGGCGATCGTGCATTTTGCTTGTGTGGTAATTTGAAGGAAATAGTGATACCAGAGAGTATTAAGGAGATCCCAGACTATTGCTTTGCTTACTGTAGTGACCTTGAAACAGTCCAAATTCCACGATCAGTCACTCGAATTGGTGTGTGGTGTTTCCATCGATGCACTGCATTGAGTGAAATGCATATTCCAGACTCTGTGCTCGAGATGGGAGAGGGGTGCTTCTCTGAATGTTACAACTTAAGTACTATCGACGTTCCGGCTTCGTTACAATGGGAAAACAAAAAAGGGATTTTCTTGGGGAGTGAATCCCAAGAAAAGGTCGACCGTATTCAACTGGATACAGACGACGGAGATGTCATTGAAGAAGATGGGAATGATGAACTGATGGCAGATGGGTGGTGAAGTGTGTGTGATGACTATATTAATTAGAAGATTTCATGAATAAAATGTAATTTATTCAACTTTTTATCAAAGTCTTTTTGTGTGACATATCTTAGAGAAGTTATTCCTCACGTGACACTGCAATTACCTTAAATAATTACTCAAATTAAGAACAATATAAATAAAAATTTGTGAATTAAAGAATTGATGGGAAAAGTTGAATAGGAAAGTCAAACCGACTTCGGTTGGATTTTGAGTCATCGTTTTTATCAAGAGAATGAAATTATACGAAAGTGGAATTTAAAGGGGTGCAGTATGGCAAAGAATGATCAACATATTAACAATTTTTAAACTATATAAACTATTATTTTTTTATAATATAAACTTTATAATGATTCAAGGAGATTCACACATCCCATTCATTGTGCGATGGAATTTTTAAGGATTGCAGTATTTTAAATTATATCTTAAATTATTAAAAAAGATTTGGGTTCAAAATTCAAGTGAACCTTCGTCACAAATTATATAAATAATTAATACAACTATTAAAATGTAATAATAATAACAATGTTTTTTAAATTGATATTTTAATAGTAAATTAAATGTATATTTGAAATATATAAACTTTACTTTCCGTTGTTTAGAGAAGGTTAAACATAAAAACAGAGTTGTGGAGTGTACATTGAATTTAAACAATTTTACATTTCAATATCAAATTAATCAAAAAGTTAAATGTTTAAAATAAAAAAATAAGTCGGAGAACATCGTCTCAAAAATGATTAATTTATGTTTCATTAATAAAACAAATTTGATTGAATGGTAATAAAAATTTGTTTTTACACTCAAAACCAACCAATTTTTCAGAATAAAAAAATAATGGTAAAAATAAATGGATTTTGCAGATTTCCAAAAAAGTGGTCTTTCAATTTCCCATAACTTTTTATTCCCTTCATTCTCAATCTTTTACTCGCTTCTCCAATCTATTTGAGACTTTCTTTGTCATTATTAATAACAAAATACATTTCCTGAGTTACGCTTGAATAATCATTCCCACTTTTTCGTAAAGGTATCATCCTTTTCAAAAGTGATTAACAGCACTTCAGCAAAGTGATTGTATTATTTTGAATAATACATTAAATTAAAGCGTTTAATAACAAAACAACATGAACAAAGTATTGCGCATAAAACGAATAAATAGCCTGTTAATCAAATTGAAAAAAGAAGTACCAAAATGTGTCACGGCGAAGTCAAGAACAAAGTAAAGACCAATAAAAGGACTTTCAAACTCCGAAATACACAAATGAGTTACATAGATTCCACCCAACCCCAAGAGCCATGCCAATGTTTATTATGCCAACGTGGCTTTGTCAAATTTGCTCGGCACCCAACATGGAAGATGATACTTCGAGTGGTTTTCTGTTCTCTCCAGTCTATCTTTCCTGAAAAGGAATACTTTTCCCTTACAACAGACGTCTATTTATACATCGAACTTCATATGCCATTCTTTAAAAGTATAAAACACTTCCAATCGAAACCACAGATATGGAAGAAGGCTATGATCGATTCACTCAGTCATAATAAAGACTTTTTGACGGGGTTTCCACTCTTTGGAATGAATGGATTTTGGAAGTTAATCAACAAAGATGATCCATGGATGGAAGAAGACCCTGTACAGAAGTGGAGATGGACTGATAAGTCCGACAACAACACTCAAGGCCTGAGGAACATCTTCTCCGGTCTCAAATTTGATTTGAGTGAAATAGAAAGTACTCCAAGAAAGCTAAATAGTGAAGGGAGTGTTTGTGTTGATTCTCCTATTAATAGATTTGAAAATTGTATTAAAGGGACTGAGAAGTATGAGGAGACAACAAATCAATATGACACCTTCCTCAATGTACAATGTATGTGATATTAATTAATTGTTTTACTGCTACGAGTCTTTATAGTATAATATAATTATACTTTATCTATAATTATATTATATTCCTATTCTATGTTTTATAGTTTATTATTAACTAATTATTCTACAAATCAATAGTTTACTCTATAGAACTCTAAAACATCATAATTGATGGCTAAAGTAGAGGAGCAACAAGTTGTTAATAATATTGAAAAACAAGGCGAAGGGAGTGTAACGCCTTCTGCAGACAAAATCGAAAAGAAAGAAACACAGGAAGAAACTATTCAAGAAAGTCCTGAGATGGACATTGAAGCGATTGAATGTTCGGAAGAGTATGACAAAGAAGAAGAAAATCACCAAACCGTTATCTTCAAGAAATTCTGTTCGTTGGAATTGAAATTTCCACAAAATCTTGTTGGGAGGTTTGCGGAATTGTGGGCTATGATGGAGCAGGAGACAAAGGCGACAGGGGTTTTTGCGGAGTATTGGGACGAAGTAGATGGGGAGGAGGATTTTAAAGGTGTCAAAGCCATCCCATCAACAGACGATCAGACCGACTCTATTTTCAATTACTTCGACTATGGATTCAACAAGCCGTCATATTCCAACTACAAAAAGAAGTGTCAGATCATGAGAAAACATTTAACTGATATCTGTGGGGTCAGAGAACACAGTAGAGGTGGGGAGAAGAGAGATGACAGAGATCGGGACAGAGACAGGGACAGAAGAAAGCGATCAAGGAGCCCTTCAAGAAGAGAAAGAGATCGTGACGATAGGAGAAGAAGGTCACGAAGTGATGAAAGAAGAAGGAGGTCGAGGAGTAGAGAGGGAAAGAGAGGAAAACGATAATGCATTGATTGTGTAGCATTGTGTTATTAACAACTATACTATATATATTAATTATATTATTATTATATATAATACATATACTTTGGATATTGATTCTTGTATTTAACACTACTGTACTATTTAATATAGTATAAACAATTAATAAATATAATTTGAAGATCAGCTTATAAAGAAGACAAGGTAACTCAAATGTTCAGAATATGTATGTTTATATGTAGAATTATTATAGTAAAATGGATATAAAAGAATAGTAAATAGAAAGTATATATAATATATAGAGCAGAAGACAAGGCAAAATGAAGAGAAAAGAACTTAAAATCAATCAATAAGAATGGATGAGTACTGGAGAATGATAATTCTTCTCTTCTTCTTGAACTCTTCCCAGTTTGGGATTGAGATGGTCTGTTTGTTCTTAATTTGTTACTTTCAGTTGAAATGAAACACTCACAAATAGACAGCATTCCACTGTCTTCTGTCGTCTTCTCATTCCGATTTTGTACATCGACATTGGTAGACAGCGCATTGATGGGACCGATCATTGGGATCTTTGTCCAACTCATCGTTGGTGCTTGGAGTGATCGAGTTGATAGTGTGTGGGGGAAACGAAGACCATTTCTCTTAGGTGGTGGATTAATTTTAACCGCAGGGATGGTCGTGCAAATCATAGCGAGTGGGTTACACTATAAATATTACAATGACACATCAAGTGAATACACAGAATACACAAATCACGGCGGAAAGTGTTACTTACCACCGACATTTTCCGTCTTTTTCGAAGTTTGTTTTCGACTACTTTTACACTAAAAGAGTATCATGTTATTCATTCGACTTACGAATCTATAAATGAAATACTAGAGAAGATTTATAATACCAGTAAAACTATAAATTTACTATTAAAATAGTTTTAATATCTTGTAACACAATAACAAGCAGTTCTTTGGCCTCTTTTTGACATATATTGGGAGTAACGTCCTCCAAGTCGTCTCGAGAACTTTGGTGTTGGACATCATCCCAACAGAACATCAACACCCCTGCGCACTTTTGTTTGTTGCACAAACGGCATTGGCAAGACTTATAGTCGACTTCATCTTCACAATAACATATGGAGTGGATTATAGTCCAAAGACGCTGTATTCGGTGACAATGACACTATTCATAGTGACGATATTTGTTGTGTGGATTACGTCTGCAATCACATTCTTCACTGCGACGGAGTCGTACACGTTTTCTGATGAAACAACGACGGTCGAGTTTATTAAAGAAAGTATCGAGTGTGTGAAGAAGACGAACAAATGGGTGTTAGTCAATTGGGGAGTTTTATTTCTAGGGTGGTTGGCCTACACATCCTTTGCGATGGTGAACAATCAACTGCTGACCTTTTTCTCGTTACAAGAAGAGCGCCACAAGAACAACGACTCTTTTGTCTCATACTCGATGCCATGTTTGCAAAATTTAGTCTTCGATGTCTTTCAGTTGATGTATTGTGGTTTAATAATGTTCAGAAAGACATATCCATGGTATATGCTATCAACATTTGGAGCTTTAGGGTCGGCATTTTGTTTAGTTCCACTTATTATATGTATAGTATACTTAGCTCAAGAAAGTATTAACTTTTCAGGAGTTGGAACGTCGGTGGCTATTGGGATCTTCTGTTGTCTCTTTGTGTTAATTGCTATACCAATCTCTATCAACACTGCACAACTCCAATCAATTCCATTCGCTTTAATGAAGAATTTGGTGGACCCTTCAAGGTTCGGCTTGTTCATTGGAGTATTAAACACGTCAATTATATTTGCAAAACAAATTATGTTCATCGTCAACTACTTTCTCTTCAGAGATTTGTATGTATACCCGAATCCACTTGGAATATCGTCTGAAGAATATTATGGCCAATCACCACAAATCATTACCGCAGCAGCATTACCAGTGATGCTCTACTTCGGCTTCTCAGTCTTTTCTTTACTTACAAAGAAGGTGTACTCTATTAAGGAATATTGCGTACAAAGCACAAATCAACAGTTCTAAACTACATTTAACGACAACAAAGGGGAAGTGAATGTTACTATACTTATAGCAATTTTTATTAGTTTTTATTTATTTTATGGTATAATTTAATATAATTAATAGTAATTAATAGTTATATTTGGAACACAATGACAAATTATAATCACAAAGCACTACTTAAAAGTATAACTTTGCTCTTCAACTCGGCGACAGAGTCCACCGTTGTCTTCGAAAGCTCTTTAATTCTATCGGCAACGAGTTGATGACCTTTTCCATATAAGGCACCGATTGAATCAACACCAGCATTCTTTGCCATTAAAAGGCCATGAGATAAGTCATCGACCACTACTATATCCTGTTTCGTCAACCGATATTTCTGTAGAACACACTCAATAGGATAGGGGTATGGCTTACATAACTCCGGGTGCGTCGGGTCAAAGCCATAGATGTCATCCGGAAGAAACGCCCCATTTGTATACTTCTCATAAAAGTCTTTAATAACAGTAGCCTGTCCATGAGTACACACGATTATGATGCCACCAAGGCTCCGATACTCTTTTAAGAAGTCGAGAATGCCAGGAAACATTTCAATTCGACTATTTGTGTAACAATTGATCCACTCTTGATATATCTCCTTCTTCTCATCATTTGAAAGGCAAAGGACATCATTGAAGAATTGCGTTGTATTCACGTCCCAGAGGATTTTGTACCATTCTTCTAAAGTAAATATTGGAGAATCTTTTCGATATTTACTCATAAAGAGTTGGTACGATTTGTAGTGCACGGAAGGAGTAGAGTCCACTGTTGTGTCGTCTTGGTCTAACACTATACATTTGTACTTAAGGCTTTTGGACATGCTCTTCAAAGTGATTTCTTGAGTTCAAATTCTTCTTTTGTATTTTTCTTTTTATTAGAAAACACACAACATGGTTTTCCAAAGCAAACAAATTTCGGATTTACTTAATCGTTCGGGTAGCAATACAATCCCTTCCTTTTTTTGAAGTTTTTATTCCCGACGCGAACAAATTGCTGCTTTTGGCATTCCCGTTGAAATCAAAACGAGCAATTGTAAAAACCACGTATTTATAGTTAAAAGTTATAAAAGAATAACAATACCACTCAAATAACAATATCGTTGAAAATGTTATTCAAAACAAAACCTAAACTTCAAAAATGTTTTATCGAAACAAGAATAATACTATTAAACTATACAACTCTAAAAGATAGAATGTATATTGTCACACAGTTCACAGACTCTTTTAAGGTCATCCCCGAAAAGTTGAACCATGTCATCGCTTGCCTTATTGATGCTATCAACTTGAAGTACCAAAACAAAGTTTCTCATTTCTAGACGTTTTGTATTTCTCTACTTATTTAATTAGAGACAACAAGCTTGATATTAACTTATAGATGATAGAAGGAAAAGGTATTGGTGTGACACTCTATGACATCATTAAAATATCAGACGGAGTTATTGTGAACGGGACGGGTAACGTGTTCTACGACATCACATTCAATTTTGTAGTGTTTTCGCCATTTGTGAATGAATTGATTCAGGGAAAAGTGCTCCGTTCCCTTGCGACGGGTATTCAAGTCACTTTGGACTTCACAGACTCGATCTTCATTGATCAGTGTTACTTCCCACCAAACTGCGATTTCGACGAAGACGAACAATTGTGGTATTGGAGTTATAACGGGACGAAGCTCTATATGTACATCAATACTCCAATTCGTTTTAAAGTGCACCACGTCGTCATGAAGAAGCAAGAAAGCATTAAGCCAGCTCCCGCGTTGACTGTCCAACAAATAGCCAAAGAGAATGAAGACAAAGAAAAGCAGAAGAAAGAAAAGAAAGAGGAGCGCGTCAAGAAAATTGAAGAAAAGATGGAGGAGGAAGTCGAGAATGAGGACAAATGCCCTTTAAAAGTGTATGGCAGAATTAATGAGAGTGGGCTTGGGCTTACTTCCTGGTGGAAGAACTGATTGTTGTTTCTTTTCTCAGTTTATTTGCATAGTTTTGGTCATCGTTCAAACCTATACAACAGAGTTCTGTCACAATAATATAACTTTGGAGTTTATTAGAATTTTATAGTATATTAACTATAAAAGAACTTGAATGATTTAGGTGATCACAATGAACAAGAAAAACAGATGAATATCGTTTACGTCTTTATTGTCTGCTTTATAGTCGTCTTGGGAGCAATTATGGTCCTCCCACTCTATCCAATGTTCGAAAAAGCTCCACAGATGGTGTTATACCCAAGCCAAATGAACTACAAAAAATACGAAGGGAAGAGCTCATACAATCTCTTATGTGCGAAGAAATACCCCGACACTTTGAAGACGGAAAGCTTCACTGTAAAACTTGAAATTTTGGACGGGAAATATTCTTTGTCTGGAATAGTCGGGGCGAACGAAGTAAGTGATCCCTCATTCGGAGAAATCGAGTTGGTCGACATCTTGAATTTCAAGGACAAGACTTACGCCCTCGAAAAGAAGAATGGAATCGTCTTCGAAATGCTCAACACACAAAAAGACAACGAAGAGGTTCCAAAATACACAGGTCTGATCCCAAGACTTATCATCCCAGCAAACAAGACAAATGAAGTCAATACAATGAAGTTCGAAAACGGGTTTGTCAAGGACGACATATTCCATATCGTCGCAGAAAATGGAATTGTCGCAGCGTTCGATGGGGAATACAGAATGAGATGGGGAGAGTGGGCAACGGTATTTAAAACGGCACTCAACCCACTCAACTGCGAAAAAGTCCAGATGGGGAACGTTGTATATTCTAGAAGCAATTTTACTTTTGGGTTCTTCCCGTTCTCGTGTTGTGTTTCCGGTGCGGACGAAGAATACGGGTGCGACAAAATGGTACTTACCGATATGGAATATAACCTGATCGAAATGGTGAAACTGCCTGTTCAGAAAAATCAAAGGATCCAGTCGGCGAGACTCATCCCATTCAAAGAAGACAACTTTGTGTTGCTTGTTAAGAGCAAAGAAACGTTAGACTCTTATTTTGCTGTTATGAACAGAAAGGGAGAGGTGCTTATGCAACTGACTCAGGTTGGAAACAATGTGATCGGCTTCGATTTTATTTAACAGTTATTGGGGTTAGTAAATGTTAAACGTTAATATTGCATACTGATTTAAAAACAGAAATTACTCCTCCTTTCTTTGTTCAGTTTCACAAATCATTTTTTCAATAAAAAAGTCAAGCAACGCCTGTGGGTTCCGCTTTCTCATTGCTTCAAGAGATAGTATCGAGCGTTCTTTTCCTTCTGCAGCGTAAAGCACGTTAAGTGTCTTCATCTGTTTCCACACATCGAACACTTTCCCTTTTTCTGACAATTCGTTTTCTGGCTTCTTTGGCTTTGTGGCATCTTTTTCGAATTGAGCAATCATTTCTTTGTACGACTTTTCCATATTCTTTTGTGTTTCCCATGTGTTTTCTCGGCAGCCGTATCCCTTCCACTTCACAAAGTACTCGGTCCCCTTTTTTGTTGTTCTTTTCTTGACGATTTTTTCGACTTCGTAGTTGTTTTTTGTAATTTGCTCAAGAAGTGACTCTTGAAGTTTTTGAACTGTAACATTTTCTTGATCTTCTTTTCGTTTATTCTGTCGTTTTGTTGTCTTCTTTTGCTTTTTTTCCTTTGCTTCTTTTTGCTTTATTATTGGCTTTTGTAACAAACCTGTATCTTCTTCTTTTGTAACTTTCAATTCTATTTCTGAAGGTCCAAATGGTATATCAGCAGTTGTTGAGATAGTGTCGTCAATTTCAAAGCATTTTAAGTTAACACTTGTTGCGGGTGTTATTGGGTTTTGGTATTTTGTACTCTGTGTTGGTATGTTTTTCTTTACGAACGGATGGAACACATTATCTATATCCAGTTCACCAACTCCTTTCAATTCAAGTGATAAAGTCAAAGAACTTTCTCTAAATGGAATATTGGCATGGCGCATAACAATTGTTTTGGGGTGGGCTAGAGATTGTTCTTTACCACAAGAACACACAACAAAAATGGGAATTTTTTTAAATGTTCCACACAATGCACTTTCATACAAATCAACGCCTTCTTTAAATTCGTAGGCTGGAATATCCGAAAAGTCTGCGATAAGGATTTTCTCGCCAGTAATACCCCTTTTGGCAAAAATTGTCTTCACAACTTCCAAAACAATATGTGGCATAAATGGAATTTCAACAACATCCACAACAAGAGTCGAGTTGCTAGAAAACACAACATAGGCTTCGATTGTTTTTGCTACACATATCCACCCATTGTTTTTCACAAAATCCGAAATCGTGTTTTTGGGAGAAATAACTGAAACCGCTTCGAACGAAATGTTGTTGATTTGGGGTGGTGCGCTGATTGGGTAATAATTTGGTTCAGTGCCGATTTTCCATTCAATGAGTGGTTGGAAACACAATGAAATGACACTGTTTTTTGATACAGGAATCATCTCTGCGGTCAGAGGCTCGACGTTGTAATTCACATCGTTCACATTCAATTTGACGTTGAAGACGTGGCCAAATTTTTTTATGTTACACACACATAACATACCATTACTTCCGTCGAACGTCAAGTTTCCGTTCACGGTCTTTGAAATTGTATTCAAACTTGAATCCACAACAAAAAATTCGACACCAAATATATAAAGTGAGTTTGATGTGCACACTTTGTCAATCTTGGAATTAATTGATGACATTCAACGACAAAATCATAAATGAAAAACAAACAGGTAGTAGTGTAGACAATATTTCTTTGTAAGTAGCATCAAGTGCCAAAGCACCTTCATTCACAAAAGTGTTTTGAAAAGTCATATGCGTTGTTTTATAATCTGCAACTCTTCTTGTCAACATTTTTCACAAAACAAAAGAACAAACTGTTGGTAAGTCTCATCATCGCTCATAAAAGACCACAATTCATCGTCTTGTGTATTTTCGAATAGTTCTTCTTTTGTGATGTACTCTCTTAAAGAACTGATTGTTCTTTGTGTTCCAACGGTCGCTTCAACAGCTGTATTCTTGTTGGTGATACACTTCATGTTGACTTTCATGTTGGTCATTCAGTCAAACTTGTCCATTTTCCCCTCTTTTCTGTACGCTCATTCTACCTTTCTCAATCTCCTTTTTCATTTTCCAAAACTTAACCATATTGATTTTTTATTCAATATGGTTAAGTATATTATAACTTATAATAAATATTATTGGATAATATTTATTATACTATTTATAAAGCTATAACCAAATTATATTTAAATACTATAATTTTTATTCCCTGTAAAACTATATTAAATAATAAATTATAGAATTTGTCTTTCCACAATACATCAAAGTGGAACTTAAAAACTCAATCCCAAATCACAGTTACACCCCTCTTCCGCCTGTACTTTTCCGTTAGTCGTCATAAAGTCTGTAATTGTCGATGAGTGTTTTTTCGTCGTCCCTCTCTTCTTCCTTTTTGACGACCTCGACGTCCTCTTCCATCTTATTTTTATTCTCGTCGTTCTTTTCCTCGTCGCTTTCGTTCTGATTTTCGTTACCGTTATTGTCTGCAATAGCTGATCCGTCTACATCATCAATCTGTGCGGAGATATAGAACGCAATCTCAGACGACGGCGCGTTGGTCTTATTTGCCTCTGGCTCGATAATAAATTCGATATACAACAATTTGTTGCTGTTAATTATCATGACCACTTGCTTCGACTTCTCAAGTACCTTTTTGATTCGTTTAAAGTACCCCATGCGATACCGGGCAGTAAATGTGTTGTTGCACTCAAACCTTTTCTTCAGTCTGTTGTATAGTTTTTTATTATACTTTAAACTATACTATATATATAAAACAAATTCTATAAAATATAGTTGATTTTGTTATAGATCTATTTTGTGTCGACTGGTAAAAAGAATAGTAAAGTATAGTAAAACAAACTCATCGAAACACTCCTTTGAATAGACGGTTGTTACGGAGTCTCCTTGTGCACTCGAAGCTATTGTGAGAGTGTTGTCAGCGACCTTAGCAGTTAAAGTAATATATTGATGATTCCATTCGAATGATTTAAAAGAAGGTAATAATGTTTGAGGAGAGCATTTGAAATAGAGAGCGGTTGGATGTGTGTTCAAGTCAAAAGTTTCTCCCCGAGAGCCATGGGGGGAGCAGTTAGGGATTTTCATCTTCGAAGTCAAAGTCTTTGCTTTCATGTGAAGTAAGACATGACCGGAAGGGAAGATGAAGATATCCAAATTGTCTTGGTCGCTGACTTGGACTAATTCGAAGAAGGAGACAAAAAGTTTTAAAGGGATGTGTGTGACTATTTCAGGGACTTCAGATGGGATGTCATAGGCAATATTAAAAAGATCCGGCATCAACATGACAATACACTGAAACACTCCTCTCTCTTCAACTACTATTTTAAACCCATCCTTGTCTGCCCAAAGTGTTGCCAATTGGTCTTGACTGTCTTTTCTATCTTTTGATATCAACAATTGAAGAGTGACAAATAACATTCGCGTGTTTGTCGTCGAAAATGTCATCAATGGCTCCGTCAGAGAGATGGTAACACCCGACGGTTGTTGGAAGAGTGACGACTTTGGGTTTAAACTGGATATGTTCCTGTCGAGTAAATCTTGTGAGGTGTAACTCCCATTCAACAGAGACATGCTTTTTCCTTTTTTCCCTTCCCATTTTTTGTTGTATAGTTAATTCATAGTTTATAAATAATTTAATTATAGTTTGTTCTATTATTTATTAAAACTGTTTCTATTTTATAGTTTGGAGTATATATACCCGCCGTGGTATGACGGGTAAAATGGTCGTTTCTAATTCTAACGCAGAAAAAAGACTGAATTTAATTGTGAGATGATTAGACTCGAGATACTTTGATAATAATCAGTCCATATTTCGCACCTTTAATATATGAATTTTGGTAACAAGTGACACAAAAAGGATTTGGATTGTTGTGTGATTTGTCTGGAAATTTACCCATCAAAAACAATTGTTTTGTGTCTGTTCCATCATCAACTTTGAATGGAACTAACACCACTCCATTCCCAGGTAATTGGCGCGATGGGGAGGCAGCGATGACGTTAAATACGTTAACACGAACCCCATTTGTTAGGTGGTTAAAGATGAACTTGCTTAGAAACTCTTCATCGTTCTGTATGATATTTTCAAAGAGCTGGTGGTATTTCGTAACAAACAAAGTCTTGCCGTCAAGCTCTGGTATTTGGCACATACTGAGGTTACTTAACTCTTCTTCGTTATCCGTTTTCACCAAGGTGATTTGGTCACCACTTCCCAACACAAAGTTGGTTTCACATCCACATTCTCGAAACAGATTGTAGATCACGGGAGCTACATTCTCAGACATGAAGAGTAAGTTATCACCACAGTTCTTAAGCTTCCATTTAGTTAATGGCATTTTTTTCATTCTCAAAACTTGCCTTAAATCATTCAGCGTTCCGACATGATTTTCAATCACTGACAACTCTGAAATTTTTTTTCTTTCTTTTTTTATATCTTGTTCCATTGTTTGAATGTCTTCGTTACATTTTTTGAGATTTTGAAGTGCTGTAATCATCTCTATTCGTCTCTTCTCAATCTCAGTTTTATCTTGATTTCTCATATTTGCAAACTGTGTGTCTGGTGGAATGAACTCGCTATTAAGGCGACTTTTTTGGCCAAAAGTGAAGCTTTTGAACTCATCAGCTTCGAAGAACTTTAACACAAAGTCGCCACCATTCACACCCATTCCTTTAAACACAACATCATCCTTCCCAGATTTGTTAAAAGAAAGTGACTCGCCGCTGGGGTGCATTATCACTTTTCTAGTGTTGTTGTCATATTTCTCGTTGAGACACTTAAGCACAACACACCCATCGCGGTCATCATACGCGTAGTCTCCCATAAATATTTTGAGTCTGAACTTTTTGTCTTTGACAGTAAAGAAAGAATTTGTCTTCATACTTCGTTTCACTCGAAAGGTGAAGACTTGTCGGTCCACCACTGCACCTTTTTTGTCGTGTTTGAGTAATGTAACCGTCTTCACCAACTCGTTAAACCACTCCTCGAAAGTTACCACCACAACAGGACATTCTTTTTCCATCTTCGCTTTCTCAGATATTGTGTTGTATAAATTAGTGAACGTGTCAATACTATTAGACACTTTCTGTAACAATTTACGTGATTCTATCCTTAAGGATTCGCATTTTTGCGTGAGCTCTTTGTGTTTTCTTTCGGAAGCACAAAGATTGGTATCAGTGCCGAAGTATTTGAATTGGTTTGATGTTTTCAAATAGTAAAGAACGTCGAAGCCGGTTTTTAAATTAGTGGTGTTCTTTTCTATAGTTAAATGCTTCAAGTAATACAGAAATAGCAATATTTCGTATTTATTGTCTATTGTTGTAGCAATAACATTTTCGAAAAAGACGTATTGTTTGCTTAAATTTCGTGTGAAATCGCCTTGTTGTTTTTTGAAAAAGGGAGTCGAGAAACTTTCTCCGTTGTTGATCCTCAAAAGCTGGTCGATAAATTCGAGTTGTGTAGAGTAATCAATTTTTTTATAAAAATCAAATATATAATTTGCTAACGAATTTAGTGCTGTTTCATACTTCATTGTGTTTTGGAGTAATTGTTCTGTTAAATTTTCGTTTGGACCTTCAAGTAAAAAAGAATATTCTTGTGACAATTGATAGTCCCACGTGATTGCTGACATATCCAATAATTTCATCGAGTCGCCTACAGTGTTAATATTGTGTTGTGCAAGAAACTTCTTTTTGGCACTTTCATATTCATTAATTTCATCGTATGACATCGAAAATTTCTTTAAGTTCTCTTCTTTTTATTGAACATTAATTAAATATCATTCTTTTGTTTGTAATGAACTTAAGTATAATAAATATTTATAGTTTTTTTAATTATACTATACTATTTTTGTAATAAAATAATTTAGTTTACTTATGTAATAAACTCAATAAGAGTTTTATTATAATTTACTCAATACATATATAATATATCGGCAAACAATGTTCAAATGCCGAAAAAACAATTTGTTTTTCCTTTGATTAAATTTTAGTTAATCCGTTATAATATACAATAAATCAATAATAAATTAACCAAAAAACATAGAATAAAAAAAACGTGTAGAAAAAACACATAGTTTGTCGCAAAACAAATAAAAAGTTTAAAATATAACACAATTTAAAAAAGATACTTTTTATTAGTACATAAATAACTTAATTTACTGCAAATTATGTTTGTATCACCATTTCCATTCTGATATAATTATTGAGGGAATTTAACATCAAACTTGATTATAATTACTTTGTAAGAAGTTGTGAAAAAGTTGTTATGGCAATCCCGAGAGAAGTGGTGTTCTCTGTGTAAATAAGAATGAATTTTTTTACATCTCAAAATTAATGCACAACCATCTTAAAAAAAACAAGAATGGGGGAATCGTCATCTAAACCCAACAACACAACACACAAGAACAAAGACGACACTAAAACACAATCAGCAAACCCTTCTGATACTCACCAAGAGACTTCCATTCAAAAAGAAGTTGAAGTTAAAAAAGAAGAAGTGACTGGAACTACCACTTCTGTAGTTACAAATACAACAGAAGCCAAAAGTGATAGTTACGACTCTTCAGAAGGAAGTGGAGAGAGAGCGGAAGAAGGGACTTTTGATTGGGTCCAAGAGAACACGTCGAACATTCCATCGAGTGAATTTCAGACTGCGAGTGATCCACAATACGTTGATAGAAATCGGTATGCCAATGTCTTAGCCAATGAGAGTACACGTGTTATATTATCTGAGAGAAATTACATCAACGCCAATTACATCTTTGGAAAGAAGTACATCAGTTGCCAAGCGCCTTTAGAAAACACACTCAATGATTTCTACACAATGCTTTTTGAACAAAACGTTTCTGTTGTTGTTATGTTGACCAAATTCAAAGAAGGAGGTAAAGCGAAATCGACGGCATACTTTCCTATGGATGATGAAGAAGATACTATGACTATTACCTATCGAATTCACTTCTTAGACGTCTTGTACTCTGAAGAAGACGAAAAGAAAACTCAAACACAAGTAAGACTCTTCCAAGTCACTAACACTAAAACTAATGAAACTAAGAAGGTGGTCCACATCCACTACATCGGTTGGCCTGATTTCGGGACACCTGAGGATAAGACTTCATTCTGTGACTTAGCGTGTTTGGCATTGATTTGCAGAGAAGGGACAGCAAAAGGAAGGGATGGACCTATAGTGATCCATTGTTCTGCGGGACTTGGAAGGAGTGGGACATTCATTGGAGTACTCCGAGTGGTAGAGGAACACGTCGAGAAGTTACTTGGGAAGAAGACAAGAGCTTTTGAGAAGACGACAGACACTATGGAAACCTTTGAAAAGAAAGTTGAAGAGCTTAACAAAGACATTAATACAGCAAACTTTGCTGCTGAGATGGTAGTAGCAATGAGAAGTGAAAGAAAGGGAATCGTCCAGACTAAGGAACAGTTCAAATTCTTAGTCGATAGTTTGGACTATTTGCTTGCAGACATATATGGAAAGCAGACAAAGAAGACTGGGTCCGCAAAAGATATTCTTGAAGAGTTGATGAGTGATACACTTAAACTGAATTTAGACGACTTCTATGCAAAACTCAATTAAACCAATTGTGTTATTTTCTTTCATCTAGTTTTTTACTATAGAATTTATAATTTATAATAATTTATTATTATTATAAATATATTAGTATAATACTATATTTATTATTATTATTATATTAATGTTATAAATATATTATTATATATAATATTTTGTATAACACCGATTCAACAACTTAATTATTAAAAAATGAACAAAAGTGTGAACTCATCACTTCAATTGAAATATTATATCATAAATTATGCTATAAATATAGTTACAAAAGGAACAAAGAAAGCAATTTGTAGAAATGGGATGAAAAGTATGAAGCATATCTCACAAATATAAAGACGTCAAACTTATAAATTGAAAGAAACAATGCCAAAGGAACAAAAGTTAATTCCCGTGTTGATAGAGAAAGATGAAGAGTATAGAAAAGCTGAAAATGAAGTGAAACTTGCCTTTGAGCAACGCAAATTAATTGATATGACTTGGAAACAACACAAACATTTCAAAAATCAAAGTTTATATGACAAAAAGAAACAGGCGGTGGCTGAAAGTCCTGAATATAAAAAAGAGGAAGAAGATATTCTACAACTGTATCAAAACATCGACGAATTAATTGTTACATTATGTAATAATAACACATCTCTCTTGTCGCGATATGCATATATTTATACACGTTTCAGAGTCGAAGTTGAAGACATGACTGTGACTCCAGAAATCGTCGACGTTTTTGTGAAGTACATTGGCGAGCAAAACATCTACACGCACCATCTTGAAGTTTTTCCAAACAAAGATAAAATTCATCAAGTTACAAAGTTGTATTTCACTTTCAAAAATTTTCAAGCCGAAGACCTCTTGGACAAGGTCTGTGATAAATTTTATTGGTACTCTTTATCGGAATACACTTACCAACAAGAACTCATGTTGTGTGAAGGAAAAAAGAACCAAAGACTCAGAACAAGATTTGAAAATACTCAAGAGAACTTTAATCAAATCTTCACTGATCTTTATGAGAAGATCGAAAACTATACCAAAGATAAGAAATTAACAGATAAGATCATTAGAGTTATTAAATTCGTTGAAGACACACCTGTTAAGATGTTCAAAGTATTAATTAGCCAAGACTTCGAGCAGTACATTGACAAGATCAAAGAAAGTCTTGTGAAAGATGACTTCTGGGTGGAGTAATAGTAATTCATTGACTTTTTATAATTACTAATTTTATAATAATATATTATTTAATAATATAATTGTGGTGTATTAATTTTTATAAAAATATTATTATAAAAAATAGTTTATTAAAATAAATTCATATAGACTATAAAAAGTTAATATATAATAAAAAATAAAATGAAGTTAAGTAAAGGGCGAATGCGACAAGGCCGTAGCCAAGCACATTCTTGTCTAGTCGTGTCTTTGGCAAGCCTCAACACGACTAAACCCCAGCGCAAAAATTGTTTAATATTTGCACCTCCGTAGAGGTGAGCAAGATATTAAGCTTGCTAGAACAGATACTACACTTGATCAAAGCCATAAAGGCCGAGAAGGATTGAATGGAATTCACCGTTCTTTATATACATGTCGTGATGTGGCAGGGTTCAATAGTTTATAATTTCTTATTATTATGTATAGTTCACTAAAACTCAATGACTGAATTATAATTTATAATAAAAATATTAAATAGTAATGATTCACTTTTTTATCTTTTAGGGTTGAAGATAAAAAACAAAATTAATAACAATTATAAAAAACCAAATATAATAATAGTTTTGTAAATGATACAGAATAGTATTAAAAAATGTTATAGTAAATTATTGTTAAATATATGATACATTAACATATCTAATATAATAATAAAATGTATTATATTAATATAATAATAACAATAATAAAAAAATATATATTTAATATTAATTTTAATAGTTTTTGAAGATAAAATTTGATAATTATAATAAAATAGTATATAAATCACATTATATATTATAAAAGATAAGTATCAAAGAGTTATTGATGTTTTGTTTTATCTTTATACTAACTAACAATAAACACAACATACAAATTACAAACAAGTTACAACACAAAATCTATTGATCTTCAATTTACACTTCATTGAATTGTTGGAGTATATTGAATTTCTGTTTGAAGATGAGACATCAAAACACTTTGGTAAACTAGTATTGAAAAAGACCGTCCCATTATTTTCAATCCAAAATGCCCCTGAACAATTCATAAACAAATTGTGGTAGTTGTCATACACAGAAAACGAGTGTTTTGTGACACAATTTTTTTTAAAGAACAAAGGAACGATGTCTTTGTTTGTGGTTTTATTTAAAGAGAAGAGTAATACCTCTTCCGACTTAGCATTGGCTTGTCTCATATTGGACTTTATATTCATTTGAGGGTCAAATGTGTCTCTTTGATAAAACCCAAAGAAGTCTTTGTCACTTTCTATAATAAATAGAAGGTGCGAATTGTATTGAATAGAAGACACCAAGTCTCTTCCTTCAAACCCAGCGAGTGCACTGTCATATAACATTTTAATATTTTGTTTGACTGATTTTGAGATAAGGAATGCAAGTAATGAAATATCTTCTGGCACACATTCATCTTTATCACTTACACATACTTTGTCCACTTGATATAAATTATGGGGTTTTATATTCTTGTTATTGAATGTCGAGATCTTTTTGTGGTGTACTTTCTTAGTGTGTTTTTGTATATTCAACACACTTGTGAATGTTTGAGATGCTCGATTGCCCATGATATTTAAATTGTGAAAATTTACTAAGTTTGTACCTTTTTATACTCAAAGTAATTTTTTTAAATACATTTAGAAAGCTCAAAACATTTTAAATGTTTGTTATATATTGTATTCCCGATTATAACACTTAAATTGTACTGTTATTATGAGTTCATAATATGGCAATTTCACTGTAAAATTTCGATTCCCTGAATCAAAACAAGTAAAGTACTCTATCACTTAATATTTTTACATTTTAATATTGTTAACATTAACATTTTATTTTTCTTAATCTACACTTTTTTTAACTTGAACTTCAACAAAAAGAAAAACACGTTTTTTGTACCACTTTTTTTGTGATATTGTTAGGTGATCGTACAAAATTTGTCATTTTTCTTGATAACTTTTTCATTTGAACAATCCATTTAATTATTTTTATTATAAACAAACTAAATTCATCAGAATTATTCCATTTTTTGATTTTGTTGTTAGGATATTATTATTATTGTTGTCTTATATCTAAAATATGTATTAAATATTTACTAACAATATTAATTAATTTTTGTTTTACATTTCATTTTTGCTGTATTATAAATTATATTACAATAAATTAAATATAAACCTATTTCTATTCACCAAAAATGTCCCCAAAAATCCATTGAAAAATAATCAAAAAAATGAGTTAATAAGCATTAATTAATTTACTAATCCAAACAAACTATCAATTAATAATATCAAAACTACCAAAAGAACTATATCATCTCCAAAAGCACATGCAGCCCCACACGATTCCCCATCCCGATGCCCAACGTCGTCGCATTCAAGGACATCCTCCGAACTCCCCCTCTCCAAATCAGAATCTTATGACTGATCAAGAAACAACTGGTGAGGACGAAGACATAGATTTTGTTGAAACGGAGCAAGAGGAAGATATTGATGATGGGATATTACAGTCAGACTGGGCAGCTGATGGGAAAGAGAAAGAAGAAGAAGTTCAAAACATTCCGTTAGACCACGATTTACATGGGGAAGTCTCTGACACTGTTTTTGTCGCGTTTGGTCAGCAATTTTCGTCTGGGAAAGTCATTACTGCGAAGGAGTTATACTCGATGAAAGACCGAGCGACGTCGAGTGGACAGAAATTAGAAAAGATCCCGATGTGGCTTGATATATGTCCTCCGACGGATGATTCCGCTAAAGTACTTGAACAAGTCTTCAATCTTCATCCTTTGACTATAGACGATTGGTTTACCCCAGATTCACGAGAGAAGGCTGCATTCTTTGAAGACTATTTTGCCATTTCTGTAGTTGAGATGCGATATATAGATGACACCAATATCCTTAAAACGTATTTACTTAACATCGTTGTGAAGAAGAATGTGATTTTGACGATCCACACAGAACCCATATTATCAGTGTCAGAAGTGAGAGTTAGAATACGAGACAAATATCAAGGAACATTTCCAAGTGCGCATTGGGTACTCTACGCCATCTTAGAGTTGATCATTTCGAAATTTAATGTCTTGAATGAACGACTCTATTCAGACGTATTTTCAATCGAACAATTGTCACTGGTGTTATTACATGATGATCAAGACGAGTTCTTAAGTCGAATTGGCGACTTGAAAAAGCGGACCAATTTGCTGCAGTTTCTTGTCTCTCCGAAGAAGTCATTTTTGCGGTTCATCTTGAAGTCGAAGTCGCACATGGTCTCAAAAAATCTCAAAATTTACCTTCGTGACATTTTGGATGACACCGTCAGACTCTTAGAGAAACTCTCTTCACTGACGCACAATATCGAAAACCACCAAGAAACTTATTTAGCAAAAATCTCGTTAAGTGTGAATAGATACTCAGAAGAAGAAAATCAATTGATGAAGAAATTTGGTGCCATTGCAACACTCTTCTTGCCAATGACATTCATCGCAGCACTCTTTGGAATGAACGTCACAGTGCCTGGGCAGAATGATCCAAGCCTTGTCTGGTTCTCCTTGATTATAGGCATCTGTATTATCTGGACTATCGTTGGGATCGTCTTGTTTAAGATCTACAATTGGTTCTAACCTATTTATACATGTACTATTACTTAATAACAACTGAACTAGAAATGTATAGTATAACCTAAACACCACTAAATAAACAGAGAACTACACAAAAGACGGTTCAGAGGTACTGAAACGTCGTCGAGTTTGATCCAAGCGAGAGTTCCGTCGATGTTGGTAAATAACTCGAGAATGAAGTGACTGCCTCCGTCTCGTTTTCTTCTTTTTTCTCGAAATGAAAGGTCTGTTTGTCGTCGAATAGTGGCGGATTCTCTTGGTCGAATACCAAAGGGAGGTATTGAGTAGCTGATGGGTATGTAGCCATACTCATGAGTCCACTTGCATTAGAGAAAGTGTTTTTATTACACACTTCCATCTGTTGAGGGTTGGGTTCTTCTAAGAACAACTCTTTCTTCTCCACTTCAAAGAGTGTTTTCTCATCATCCTTCTCTTCGCCTTCATTCTTGTGTTGTAAATTCTCTTTCGTCTCAATTGACACAGTTAAGTTCATTCGAACATCAACGACAATCTCTTTGTTATTGTTCTCCTCAAACCGTTGATGAAGGTATTCCAATGTCTTCTTCCCAACAGAGTCGATGACATCTTTATCATACGATTGCATCGCATATTTCACCTTTTTAAAGCGTTTCATCTTCACAGTGTTCTCACTCTCTTTCGACTTTAAGACATCAAAGCTGTAGCCAAGCTCCTCTAACATCTCGACTAACCAATTGAAACTCACTGACATACAATTCTTCTGATAATACCGTTTCCGTTGAACTTCATTCTGCACTAAATTCGCCTTCTCAAGCGCCTCCTTCTCCGCCTCCTCTTTTAACTTGAATATCTGGTCCGTGCGAACCTCTGAGACGTGGTAATACTGTTCCGTCTTTTTCGACTTCTTTTCCGTGTTTTGGACTACTACCTCCCGATTGTGTTGTACTAACAGAAAGATCAGAAATCCTAATTGGTAGCACTCGGAATTCTTCGCTCGTTCTTTCTTGCGCCTATTCGCCTCACGTAACGTGTCCTCTCCTTGTGGTGCCTTTGCCTTTCGAGGCATCTCTGTTTTTCTTGTTCTTTTTCTATTATAAATACTTAACCTTCTCGTATAGTTTATTATTGGTTTATTAAACTATAAATATACTATAAGAGAGAGCATTAATTTTATGGATGTTTAATTAAAAACATTTCGGTCGTCAACCCGATGAGTGACGGGTTTTTCGACCAAAAAAACACAAAAATCTTTTTTCTATTTTAAAATTAATATTTTTGATATTTAAAGAAAAAAACTATTTCTAATTATAAAATTCTCAATTAAAAATCTCTTTCGAAATAACCAGTGGCTATTGTATTTTTAACTATATTTATAGTTAGTTGAATCAATCAGAAGAATACAATCCCAAGAAAGGAACCTACTAGAATGAAAGTCAATTACGCGCATTTTTTGCAGACGGGGAGGCCCTCCGATGTGATCATGTAGGACCCGGAGAATTTCTCGCCACATCTCGAACATACAAAGCATCTACATGATGAGTATAAATGTACTATACTTATAGTATATTATATTAGAGTTACTAATTATATGAATAACATATCAAAAGAACGAACGTGTCGTGGTAATTGTGACCATCTACAACCAAATATTTACCAACGAGGGGCTTCCCGCACTTGTAACATCTCTCCACATAAGTTTCTTCATAACAGAGACTACACACGACATCCCCGTTGTGTTCCATAATCTTTCTATCCCCTCCAAACTTCTCCCCACACAAGGTACATACAAAGCAATCCTATCAGTCACTTCCACTGCATTTCAAGTGTTTAAATACGGTGAAGGTAATCAATAAACAAACTTCATGATAAAACTTTCCAATGGCTTTAATACCACCCGCAACGGGTTTACCACACTTCGCACATAACTCCGCACTTATTATAGTCGCAGGCTTTTCTTGCTCTTTGGGCTTTTCACTCTCTTTTTTTGTGGAAGTGGTCTCTCCTCCTATTTTGGCGCCACACTCGGAACAGAATTTGACAGAGCCATTTAACTTCACTCCACAATTGGGACAAAACTTGGGAGCACTTTGTTTCTCGGGACTTTGTGGGGGTTGAGCTTTTGCTGGTGTTTTGGGTTCCTCTTTTTTCTCCTCTTTTTTGGGCTCCGTCTTCTTTGGTTCCTCTTTTTTGACGTCGGCTTTTGGCTTTGGTTCTTCTTTCTTTTGTTGTTCTTTTGGTTCAACTTTTTTTGGTTCTTCTTTTGGTTTTGGTTCTTCTTTAATTTTGTCTTGGGCTTCAAGTTGTAAGAAAGCCTCTTTTTTATTCACACAGTGGTCTATGGCATCAGTTAAAGTCTTATTATCTGTAATTATAATTGGAGTGGTGTCACCTTTGTATACTATATCAAATAAGTAATTGGGATACTTCTTTTTCAATTCAGCTACAAAGACTTCGTGGATGTTGGGAAGCGTTCGTTCCACATTCACAATCTTGTTTGCAGTCCCTTGTTTCACTTTGATCTTGATGATTGGCATTTAATCAATTTGAGAAAGGAGATGGATCTCACTTTCTTTTCTTCACCGTCAATTCAACTTCCATTTGGGTTCTAGATATTTTGGATTTCTATCTTTTTCATTCACTTTTTACTCCTATTTTACTAAGATTCGTTTTGCTGTTTTTAATCATCACATTTTTATTATTACAGTTAACTTTTTTATTGTAATTGTATAGTTTGTTTATGAACATGAAATAAGAACGAGAGTTAAATAAGTAAATGAATATTGGTGTAAAAAACTCTCCTTGGTCTTATTTCTTCGTATTAATACCAAATTTAACTATAATTGTTAATTTTATATATTATATTTAATTAATTTTATTGACTATCTCTTTTTTATTTTCGAACTTTTTGTATCAAAAAACGTACAAAAGTATCCTATCATTTCATGATTTTGCTTTAAGTTTTCAACATCATTTTATACAAGTAATTGATGAGTACAAAAAGACTAAAGTTGATTAGTTAAACACTTTGAATCAATAGTAACAAGTTCTACTTTTATACATTCTGTAAAAAACATTTCATATTTAAATTTGAAGTTTAGTAAATTAAATTAAATATTTAATTATTGTTTCAAATCAATAATATATTTAATATCTATTATAATATATAGTAATTTAATTTGGCATTTTTTTTTCAACAAACTAATATGAAAACTTGTTTGAATAATATATTTTAATTATTTTGTTATAACAATTGTTAAATTTCTAAAATAGATTAAAAAACTTTGTATAAATGGTTTTTAAAGTTTTATAATAACTGATATTATTTTTTCATTTTATTTTTTTAACTATAAAACAATTAATAACAAAACCATACCACATAGTATTTTTTTATACAAAACACTTTTGTGGTGAGTTAAAAAACCTAAATTGTTTATAGTTTCCCCACCCAATTCTACCAAAATCGGTTTATTGAAAAGTCGACCAAACACAAAAAATTTTCCATTTGAACTATAATAAAACTAATCATAATTATTCAATTATCCAACTGAATTGGAAAAAGACTGAAAAAATATATGAAGGGGTTCAACGAGTTGATCGGACTTTTAGAAGAAGTTTTGACACAAAACTACGACTTGTGTCCTGAAAGTTTTAATGTTGTACTTGTCCGTTCAATTCGGAATATCGAGAGGTATTCATTAGTATATTTCTTGATGATATTGACAATTCAATGTGTGTTTCTCTTGATCAACAAAGATTTTTTACTCCCCACCGTGTTTGTGACAATCGTCCCACTTGCAACTCTGTTTTTTCCTCACGAAATGAAGAACGCCAAATGTGCAGTCTTTTTGTTTTTCTCTCTTATTTTACTTGCACTTATCATCTCTTCACTTTTGGGCTTCTTGTCGTCGTTTGTTGTCGATCTTGGATTTATTGTTGGATTACCAATGATACACATGGCACTTTTTGTTGGGAAAGGGAAACAACTTTCTGTTGTGTTGACATGAAGACACTCTAAACGCATTGTAATACCTTCCGATTATCAACTCACTTCATATAGCACAATCAAACACAATTGAAGTACTTTCAACATATTTTTAATTCATTGTTTGGAAATTGTTTTATTGTTATTTTGTTTGTATAAATATATTTATAAAGTATTATAAGAATATTGTTTGTTATTGTTTTTGAATAACATGTTTCTATTATGAAACGGAAGATGAAATAAAAAGAAATCAAATTGTTTTAAAAAAATTGTACCCTTTTCTCACAAATTCTCCATCAATGTATTTTAATATAACCGCCCCTTTCACTGGGATACTTAAATTGTTCACAAATGTCGCATTGACATAAGTGGTGGTCTCGTCTTTCATTACACCAAAACAATTGTGTGAGTGACCAAAACAAACTAACTTGGGCTTGTTCTTACTGATAAAGTCTAAAATAGGGTGAGACCCACCATGAAACGATGGTGATGATAGTGACGAGACCGCCATCATATCTAAAATATTGTAAGGTGGTTGGTGTGATAAAAATACAAACGTCTTTGTTGGATCTGGTTGAAAAGATTCTTCACCATTAAAGCCCCAATTTGCTCCATAGAAGACAAAATCGTCAATAGTCACACTTTGATTGATTAAAAGAACGGCTTCGGAACATTCTTCAGATATCCACTTGGATATCTGTTCTGTGCTTTTTGTGATTTTGAGCTCGTTATTTCCTAAGACAATTAGTTTGTGGAGAAAGTGTTGGGAATGAAGCCATTTTGCAAATTTTCTTATAGAATACTCTTTACTATTTGAAAAGTCCCCACAGTGGATTAGAAAGTCACCACGAGGAAGAGAGAGAAAAGAGTGTTTACGATGTGTGTCTGATATTATTACAAATCGAATAGAGTCTGGCATAGACATGGTGAAATAATAACAATTGAGTTTAAATTTACATTATTATATAGTACAACTTGAACATTTATTTCGATTTGTTGATAAATTATTCATAAAGATATTAAATAAAATTAAAATGTTAAAATGTTTTTGTTGTTATACATTCGATCTTATTTAAAAGTGATGTTTCATTATTAAAATTGATAACAAGTTTTAGTTGTTGTTGTTATACATTTCAAACGATAATTAACAGTTTAATAAAAATTAATATAACAACTATTTTCATTGTATAAATAGGGACCTA